TACTGGTTTTCAAATCTAAAGTGGTTATTTTGTCGAATAAGAGACAAAAGTTCCAATACGAACTCAACAGGTGGTCCCTGATAGATGGAGGATCCACACAACACTTGTCGCATAGATAGATAGATAGATAGATAGATAGATGTATTTATCATGTCATCCTAAATGTTTTTTTTTTAACATATATGTATATTAATGTCAAAATACAGTTAGAACAAATTAAAACTGGTATTTATTTTTTTTTAAATGTATTGATTATTTATATATATATATATATATATATATACAATTAACGTCATTCTACATGTATTTGAATATTAATATATATCTATATATATAGATATATATAGACACATATATTAATATTAAAATACACTTTTATTACTGGTTTATGTATGTGTATGTGCATATAAAAGTACTTGGATCAAATATATATATATATATATATATATATATATATATATATAAATATTTTATAAATAAATAAATAAATAATATGATCCAAGTACTTTTATTTACTTTATTAAACTTTTTATTAAAAAAAGTGGCCGGTGGGCTGGATCAGGCAGAGGGGGTCTGCCGTCCTTAAGGGATTAAACCAAATAAAATAAATGTTTATGAATTCAATTATCCTATTTTAAGAGGTAAAATGGAACGTGCATATTGCTCATATAGATTTATATCAGGGCTCGAGTCCTGCAGGAACCCGTGGGAACAGCGGTTCTGCACTTTTTCCACAGCAGGAATGCCGTTCCCATCTGCTGATCCCTTTTGATCAGCAGGGAGATTGTCCCTATGAATTTCTAGAACCACTGCGCGTTCTACATTCCATTTCACCAGCTTCTCATTCAGCGGGAGCCCTCCCTCCTCTGCCACCCAGGCACGTGCCCGCCATGCGCCTAACTCCCACTCCAAGGAGTATGCTGTACCAGCCGGGCATCCTGTACATAACTGTGTGAGCAGCCAAACACATGGTGACTGCAAGCACTGCTGGCCTAAATTTATCTACCTCTCTTAAATCCACACAGGGCTTCTTTCACTTATGTTAATGTTCTGTATATTAATCACTTGTCAAAAATATCCCCTTTATATAATTGTAAAGCTCAGCAATCTCAGATCACTTCCTCCCAGCGCTTATGAAGGGGTACCTGCTCTGGAGGAGTGCAGCCCACAGTCTACCACAGCCTGGACTCCACTGGAACCCAGGGAAGCACCCCCATCTCCAGACATAGACACACAAATAATACTAATGACACACAACCCCGCAGAGTTCCCACACTTTTTTCCCCAGGACTTGACCCCTGTTTATACTGTTCTATTCATTTTAGGTCACAGTTATATGTATGCTATATGTGATCGCTTGCTTAGTCAGAGTGTACCAACCATTCCAAATAGAGTATTACAAGCTCAAGAACGGTTCCTAAGGCACCGTTTTAATAGAACTAGTATCTATATAAAACAATACATTCTAAGTACTTTCTATTAAATTTCTACAAATCATTTGCCTGAGGATTATAGCATTCTACTATTGAAATGTAATCTCTCTGTTGATTTTGTACCTGCCAATCTAAACACATTGGAGCTTTCAATTTTAAAAAAATTGTGTTTTATATATAACCAAGTGCCCAAGCAGGATTTCTCAAAGTCCAACTTGATCTATGTAGGTGATGCATAACAGTGGTTATGTATACACAAATGCTCTAATGTCCATATCTACTAATCAAGCAAAGGAAAAGTTAGTGAGTTTGACTAACCAGCAGGGTTTTAAGTATTTTTTCTTGACGATCAGTAGAGTAAAGTATATCCTTTTAGTTACCAGCAAAGCTTATTTAATTTGAAACCATCCATTAAAGGCAGTTTTAAACTTTGCATGATATGTCCCTCGGGCAATAGTGCACTAAAGCTACGGAAAATGTGTCGCTTGTCTTTGTTTTCAAAGTATCTGTTCACCGCATGGGGCAAAGGTCAACAAGGAGGTAGTTGTTCTACCATCAGAAAGGTGTTCACTTGCTGAATATTGCATATTTACAACATTTCTGTTTTATTTACATACGAAGTGAATTTTAATTCCACAGCAGCATCCAAAAGAGCCCCCCTTCCAAATAAATAAATTAAAGAAATATTTCCCTTCCTATTCACAAAATCACTTACTCTCAGTGCCGTGTGCCCCAGGGATGGTGGGGAGTATACATAAGGAAGCTGTGAACTCAGCATGTTCTAACTTGATAATGTTCAACTTTTTTTTCTTTTTTTGTGGATCAAAGACAAATATTTCAAACATCTGAGAATCTGACAGTTCCAAATAAATTTAACCTGATTTGGGGATGCCATAAATAGCATTCTTGATTTATTCCACCAAAATAGTTGACCTAAAATTAGATTTGGTAGATCATTTAAATTCACATTGTCAGCAATATTTAATCATTTGAGTGTTTAAGGGCATCTGGAAATATAAATAATATAGAAATAAAGCTGATATATTCATGCTCTGCGTCGCAGATATAAGTACATAAATATATAATGAAAATCTGTATATTAATGTTTACTAAAAAAAAATAGGTCTGCACAAATATTACTCTCCCATCAAAATTACATTCAAAAAGTGTTACTAGGATAAAATAAAATGTTGTAACTTTTCAATGTTTCAATAGAGAACGTAATATTATATCAAATATTTTATATCTGTAATGTAAGGGAACTAGTACACATTCATACTTAACCAAAATTGGCAGGTGATAGACAGATGCTATCAACCAACTCAATGGTTCCAAATGTAGCACATTCAAATTCTTTACATTGCAGAAGCAAAATTTCAAGTGAATATATAGCTCAAGTGTCAAAGTCAGTCTGAGACAACCGCAGGTGAGACAGAATTGTTCCCTAAAGATTTCCTTATTAATATACTTTTTGCTAATTCAAAAATCATAGAAAAAAACATTAGATTAATCAATTAAGCATTTTATTCGTGACATAAAATGTGTTAAGTTCTAGTGAGGGGTGTCCCATGCCCCTCACCTAAATTTTTTATGAAGCTTCCACAGTTTAACAAACTTTATGAACCTGGAGAGACTTAGTCTCTGGTAGTCTCCCTTGCCAAGTACCAGAGGTTTGTTTATGATTGTACTGATATCATTCAGCCGTCTCATGAGTTCAATATGTAATTACTGTGATATTATTGCACAGAGTGATGGCTTATGATGTCACAGCATATTTTAGTATATATCACATCACACATTTGCCAGCACACTAATGCATGTGAGAAATGATGCACCGTACAAAAAGTCTGCATCCCTCACCTGAAGCAAAGCACATACTATTTCCTAGCTGTGCAAATGAAGTACCAAAGCTGAATACTGAATCCAAGTCATACTTAGGCCTTGATTTAATATTTTTGGATAAACTTTTAGATTTTTTTTTAATATTATAATATGAAAAAATATATATCATATACAAAAAATATCAAAACAATATATCATATTAAAAAAATAATAAAATTATATATATATACAGTATCTCACAAAAGTGAGTACACCCCTCACCTTTTTGAAACATTTTTATTATATCTTTTCATGTGACAACACTGAAGAAATGGCACTCTGCTACAATGTAAAGTAGTAAGTGTACAGCCTGTATGACAGTGTAAATTTGCTGTCCCCTCAAAATAACTCAACACACAGCCATTAATGTCTAAACCGTTGGCAACAAAAGTGAGTACACTGTTATACAGGCTGTACACTTACTACTTTACATTGAGTGTCATTTCTTCAGTGTTGTCACATGAAAAGATATAATAAAATATTTACAGAAATGTGAGGGGTGTACGCACTTTTGTGAGATACTGTATATACATATATATCAATTTACCAAAAAATAACAATATATTAAAAAATGATAATATTTTTTCCTAATATTAAATCATTCCAAAATCATCAATCCAAAAATATAAAATTATTTTTTATTTATTGATATTTTTTATATATTATATATAAAATATATACTGGTTTTAGTGTTATATATTTGCAAGAGCTAGAAATAAAGCCACTAGTGTATAATTATGCCACCCAATGTTTATCATTTATTGTATCTTTCTTTCTTTCTTTCTTTAGATGTGTGTTGGACCTTTCATAATTGTGATATAGAAAATGTAGAATGGCTGCAGAGAAGGAAGCAGCCATCTTAGCCTGTGTCTAGGTACCTAAATAATTAATAGCTTTCACTGTTCATGTATTCATAAAGTGATAATATTGGCATATTTAAATCTCTTAAACAGGCATTCAAAAAAAAAAGTTTGGGGGATGTTTTACACCAAGCATTCTCAGATAAGAGTAACTTAGGTTTTGCTAATTTAGAATCAGAGACTTCATTATAAATAACTTTCACTAAAATACACTAAAATACAGTAAAACATGGCTGCAGCATATAACTGACACAAAAAAAAAACACTAGCTTTTTTCATGAAAAACTTACACCAATAATTATTAAACCAGAAACTGTCCATAGTTTACCAGGAAAACACAAATATTGCTCCAAAATGACCAGATTACAAAATTCCATTTAGTCACTAATAGTGATGTCCCGAACGGTTCGCCACGAACGGTTCGCCACGGACTCATCATTGAGTAAACTTTGACCCTGTACCTTCAGCGAACCGTTCGGGACATCACTAGTCACTAATAATGACTGATTCTGGCTTACTTCTGATGTTGTCTGATTCATGAGTGAGTTATGCTGGTGACAAACGGGCTTTTCCAGCTAGAAACTCTCATCTTGATGACACGAGAGGCTGTTAGGATAAGGGCATAACATTGTTATTTTCTTATTATATCATCAAATGCCTTATCACTAGTGATGTCCTGAACGGTTCGCCGAAAGGTTCGCCACGAACAGTTCGCGAACGGTTCGCCACGAACAGTTCGCGAACGGTTCGCCACGAACGGTTTGCCACTAATGGTTCGCCACGGACTCATCATTGAGTAAACTTTGACCCTGTACCTCACAGTCAGCAGACACATTCCAGCCAATCAGCAGCAGACCCTCCCTCCCAGACCCTCCCACCTCCTGGACAGCTCACTAAGAATGCAGCTTCACAATGGATGCTGTCCAGGAGATGGGAGGGTCTGGGAGGGAGGGTCTGCTGCTGATTGGCTGGAATGTGTCTGCTGACTGTGAGGTACAGGGTCAAAGTTTACTCAATGATGAATCCATGGCGAACCGTTCGTGGCGAACCGTTCGCGAACCGTTTAGCGAACCGTTCGGGACATCACTACTTATCACTGTAAAAAAAGATTTAATATGTTATTGGGGGTGTTATGGTTGTTGACATGAAGTTTATAATGATGGTGTTTCCTGCAAACTGTGGAGAGTATACCTCATTTTAATGATTGCCTTTGATACATTTTTAAATGAAAGCAGGTTACACAAAGGAAAAAATGCTTTTGAAGTTTTGAAGGCAGTGGCGGATCCAGAAAATAATCTTGTTAGGGGCACTGGTAGATTATTTAAAGGAACAATCCAGGCACAATAACCATTACAGCTCTATGTAGTGGTTTCGGTGCATGAAGTGCCGGGGTGCCCTCCCAGAATAAGTAGTCAAACCATTTTAGAACAGTTTGACAACTTACCTGAAGTCTGCCAGGATAAGGGCATTAGTGTCTGTGAGTGTGTGTCTGTGTGTGAGTGGTGCAGTGTATGTGAGGGATACAGTGTGTGTGACGAGTGCGTGTGTGGAAGGGTAAAGTTTGAGTGTGTGTAAGGGGGCAGTGTGTGTCTGAGGGATGCAGCTAGTGTGTGTCTGAGGGATGCAGTGTGTGTGTGTGGTGGGGGTACAGTGTGTGAGTGTGGGGTACAGTGTGTGTGTATGGGGGGTACAGTGTGTGTCTGGGGGGTACATTTTGTGTGTGTGTGTGAGAGAGAGAGGTACAGTGTGTGTGGGGTACAGTGGGTGTTTGGGGGGTATAGTGTGTGTGGAGGGGTACAGTGTGTGTGGGGTGTACAGTGTGTGGGGTGGTATAGTGTTGTGGTGGGTACAGTGTGTGGGGGGGGTACAGTGTGTGTGTGGTCTTCTGTGTGATAGGGGTACAGTGTGTGGGGTAGGCAATATGTGGGGGGCAGTGTGTGAATGCGAACATTATTGTGGGGGGTGCAGATTAAAATAAATATAAATAAATGTGTATATATATATATATATATATATGTGTGTGTGTGTTTGTTTTTAAATTAAAATAAATATCCCCCCTCCTTTCTTTCCTTTCTTAGCCCAAGGAGGGGGGATGTTACTTCCATTCCCTGGTGGTCCTAGCGGGAAGTGAACTCTAGCCTGCAACTCAGGCTAGAGTTCACTCTTGCGAGATCTGAAGGGTTGCCACTGTAACCATGGCAATGCTCTGTTCTCGCAAGAGGAGGACCCAGAGGAGCCATAATTTCATTTAGGGCTGGATTTACAGGTGCCTGTAGGCACAGAATTTTAAGGTGCCTCTGCTACCCCCTCCCCCACCCCCCACCCCCCAAATATGCAGGTCAAAAACAATGTTAGTAGTGGTTTGGGTAAAGGGAAATTTAAATGGTTACTCCAACCACCATGACCACTTCTGGTTTTAGAAATGGTCATGGTGGTAGGAGTCTCTATGTGCAGAATTTCTGCTTGAAACGCTGTACATCCAGAAATACTAGCACTTTTGTGCCGGGGGCTTGTTGCATCCCGGGCACATGTAACGCTATTCTAGGCTGCCTAAAATTCTGTCTCTCGTCAGTGACAGTCATAATGAAATAACAAGCGTCTCTTTTGCATGCAGCATTTGTTTTTAATTTAAACTCCTTCTGCCATGCCTGACTCAGTATACCGTTATACCATTAATTTTGCTTTTTTTTTTTTTTTAATCTTCCTTCCCTCTGTCCACCCCCAATCTCTCCTTCCTTTTACCAATTCAGAGAGTGTGCATGCATTTGATTGGACCACGAGAGGACACTGGTGATGTCAGACAGAGGCTTAGTATCCAGCAAGGGGAGTTTTGCCCAGGGCTGCATTCCAGGTATGTTTACAGGCCAGCCCATTTTACAGGGAGAAACGGGAGGGAAAACAAGGATTACAGTATCCCTTTAAGGTTTGAGAAATGTTAATATTTAGATTGCATAGGAAGATAGAAGGACTAAAAGTTAGAGAGGGGTTTCAGTTTTAGGATTTTGGAGTTTAGGGTGAGAGTGGGGTTAATCTTTGTATTGGGATACATGGGGTTTAGTTTTTAAGATGAGTTAAACATAGGGATAGGATAAAGATGTTTTTTTTCAGGTTTAGACTTTGCATGTTTCAACTTTGAAATAATGAAAGAGTTTGTTTAGGTTTTAAGGGGTGGAGCTAAAGGGTCACTCCCCTGCCCAAATACTAACAAAAATATATCAAATCACTGTCTAGCGCATATATCTCGAGCCCATAACACCTCATCCAACATTGATTTTTTATCAGTTTCACCTGAGTTGGTGTCTAAAGTGGTACAGGCAAAAATACACACCATCATAATCTCACACCACGCACCAATGTACTTAATCTTAAGGACAGGTCATCCTCTTCCTTTCTCTCCACAGTGGAGATTCCAATGTTTTTCTGACAAACTTCCAAGGCAGTAATACGAGGCCTAATAATAGCTTATGTCTCTAATTACAAAAAACAATGGGACCAAAAATATGCTCAACTTAATACTGATTTAGCAAATGCCCATTTGGCATTAATGGTAGCATCAACTGATATAACAAAAAAAACAAGCATACATTAAAGCAAAACAATTTTAGTCTCTTTCTTCCTGGAAAAAAGCAAAAAAATTTTAGAATTCTCGAAAAATAACTTTTTCCAATGGGGGGACGGAATGCGAAAGCTTATTATACACTTAGCTCAGCCCAAACCTGGCCACCAGCACATAACATGTAGTGCCCAAGCTGACATGACACACACTACTGATCCAGTAGCGGTGAATACTGCGTTCCCTTCTCATTTCTCTAGCATCTTTGCCTCACAGCCAGATGACCCAGTTTTAGGAATGAAACTATTAAAGGAGGCAAACCAACTTAAAAAAAAATAAACAAAGAGAAATACTCAATGCCCCAACTGGGGAGAGGGAGATAGCATGGGCAATAAAATCAGGAAAGGCAGGTAAGGCTCAGGGTCTCGATGGATTTTCCATTATAACATTCCGAAAGGGCAAGTTACCAGCACTTTAACATATCTCTTCAATGCTGCCTACATAGATAAAAAATCAGTACAACCCTTTACACCATGTAGAACAATTTTAATATTGAAACCTGATAAAGACCCAACCCTAATGGCCTCCTACAGACCTATCACACTTTCAAATAATGATTTCAAAATGCTCACTAAGATATTAGACAATATTTTGAAATACCGCTTTTTTGGAATATCATTTTACAATCTCATGAAAAATTTGTACTCCAAACAATCCAAAAATCAATACGAACGGCCTAGAATAAAATGAATTCATAACCATGAGAGGGGTGAAGCAAGGCTGCTAATTATCACCTATTCTCTTGAAATAGGCAACAGACCCACTCATAAGATACATCCACTCTTTGAACATTAAGGGAATTCAATAGGTCCCACACACTTTAAAACTTAAGGACTTTGCAGATGACCTGTTACTTAATCTCTCAGATCCCGACACATCCCTTCCAAATACAATTGCCTTTTTTGAGCGATTTAGCCAGATCACAGTTTTTTTAAATTAATTGGCCCAAATCAGCTGCACTAAGATTGAGACTAGGTCCACCAATACAACTAAGGTCACAGACCACTTTAACGTGGACAACTTCAAACATTAAATATCTGGGAGTTTTCATCACCCCAAAAATATCCACTAAATATCTGATTCATGTAAGATCACTGTTAATTGTGGTAAGAGATCTTCTTGCCATGTGAGAATACCCTCACCCTTAATTTTATCCAGGAGAAATACTCTTTTAAAATCAGTCATATTGCCCAAACTCCTCTACCCTCCACAGACTATCCTCATCCTGCTCTCACGTTCAGATGAGAAACTCCTAAACCAACTCTTCTCTAAATTTCTTTGGCAACAAAAAACATCCACGAATAGCAATGCACAAGCTTTCCCAAACTAGATTCAACCTGCTTTAAACCAGCCTCTAGAGGCTGTCTCCCTGACAGCCACTAGAGGCCTCTTCCTCGATTCTCAGTGAGTAAATCGCACTGAAATGACGCTAGACGTCCTCACAGAGTCCAGCGTCAAATAAAATCCTCATAGCAGCAAAGCATTGAGTACTGCTTTCCTATGGGGGGGTTTGAATGTGTGTGCGCCACTGGCCGCACATGCACATTTGGCTCCACTGGGGAGCTGACGTCGGCAGGGGGAGGAGAGGTCACCAGTGCGGAAGGAGCCCGGTGCTGGATTAAGATAAGTGGCTGAAGGGGTTTTAACCCCTTCAGCCTAGAGGGAGGGGGGGACCTATTAACCATACAGTGCCAGGAAAACAGGTTTGTTTTCCTGGCACTATAGGATCCCTTTAAGTATGAAAACGTAAGAGGGATATATGGAAACAAAACTTATGTGGGCTAGCTGAAATGAAATTAGATAAGGTAATGCTGACTTTGGTCTCTCTAACACTTTCTTCTACACTCACTATATCCACCTTTTCTCTGTCTCAGACTGTATACCAGGAGCTTCTGCCTGCTAGTAAGAAGGTAAGGAGACAAGTGGACATGTGAGTGCTAGAGGATACTTGTGCCAACAGCATCCTGAGCTTGGCATAAATGCATCTAATGATGCGCTTGCATGGATGCCAGGACCTTCCCCAGATCACCTCAGCGTTCCAGGTGCGAAAATCAGCCACAGCGCCTGAGGGAGCACCAAGAGACATCATTGCCATAAACTGAGACGTAGCAGTGAGGTCAGTGATTATGAACCACTCAAGGGCACTGGGGACGATACGCCACGAAGGCCATACAGTAGCCATATATGCCGACATCCCGTTCTCAGTCCTGGCAGAAAAACGGAAACTGGCACAGGTAGCCAGGAGAGTCAGGGACAGTTCAGTCACGTACCGGTAGGGAATGGAGAGCTCCCTCCTAGCTGACAAGGGGGGTGAGAGCCTCCAGCTGACCTCATCAGATGACTTTCCTAAATGCCTTGGGACTATCCACC